AAACTTGAGATTTGGATCTCCGTATCTATTTCTGAGAAGATCCTGTGGAAACTGCCGCTGTTATCTCTTCAAGAGCAGAGAGAGAGAAATGAGAGCCAGTCTGCAAAATGTAAAATTGCTCAGTTGGTATCCTTATTATTTGCCTAGTTAATATTTATTTTAAAGTATCCTGTTAATTCCAAAAGAGACAGGTCATCATGGATAAAATCTATTTATGTGATTGCTAAGAGCAACAATGACTTTATGGCATAATCATAATTAGACCGTTTGTGATGATACATTTATATAACTCTTGCTATAGTATAGTTTTTATAAAATGTAATACGAAGTCAGTCTGACATTCACCGTAAAATTGCGTTTGGCCCTTACCCACAAATGGGATAATATTATGTAGAATATATATGTGTGTACAAGTATTAGAACTGAAGGCGTTCTGGCTCTAGAGAAGTCAAATTACTTTTTATTATTGCCAGAATAATTACCAATTGCTTATTGAATATTGTTGACAAAAGAATTGCTACAAAACATTCTGCTCCAAAGGGAAACTACACTATAAAGTATCTGAAATGCGTAATTTCAAACCATTAGGGGTGACATTTTTGCTATAATGAATTATACCCAAACAAAATGACAAGCTTTCTCCTTTATATAAAAGTGCCTTGCTTCTTTCAATTCTGTACTGAAAATATACTCTGCTATTCTAGGAATGGTGCATTTATTTAGAGAAAATAACATAGAGTTTAGTTTAGGAACAGCAATTCTTCACTATTACTGTATTATAATTTCCCTTTGAACTGTTAATTATGTTGCCTGACTAACCAAGAGAACAAAGGCTGTGCTTTCTCTTAATTTAATACTAAATTAATATATTATTCCCACATTTTCAAGTCACCTTTATCCATATATACAAGCTGCCACACTTATTATATATTGCACTTTTGCTTTCCCTTTGTCTACTCTTCCTATTGTTCCCTTGATAATTGATAATCAAGAGAAATAATCCCTCCCAGTGTTTTTAGTACACTGATAACTTGCAAAATCATCGTAATTTCAGTTTTTTTTTTCTTCCAACTATTAAATGTATTTTTTTTCTATATTTGTTTATAAAACCTATCCGTGCAGGTCTTTGGTCTGAGTTTAGCATACTCAACCAAGTAAAATTGTAAAATAACTAGTCTCACTTCCACAAGATGTGAGATGCCTTTGGAAAGCAACCTTTGATATTCACATATCACCCTGATAGTGTTCAGACTCATGTTAAGTAACTAAATCCCCTTTATGTAAACAGGGAAGTTAAGCACCAATATTTCCCTTTACTTTCTTTNCATCAGTGAGGCAGACGAACAGCTGGAGCCTGTTCCCAGTGTGCACATGCGCAGAGTTGCCAGACAAAGGGAACAGCTAAAGAAGAGGGGTCGACTTAAAGTAAGGCCATAGGTGGACAATGAATGGCCCCTCCCAACAGAAATAAAAGAGGATTGAAGGGGGAGTGGAATTGCAGGAGACAATCAGTTCACTTAATTGGCCTGTGACTCTCCGAGACTCCTTGCCAAGTTTTGCAAATATTGGCCTGGCAGCTCTCCAAGCCAGATAAGGTCTGTGATGTAAATCCTTCCTTGAAAAACGTTGTTATATGTGAGCAGAATTCACAATAAATTAATAAAAGGGGTTTTTGTCAGGACCAAGAGTTTGCTTCATCCTCTTGGGAAGCCTAAGTCAGAACAAAAACATAATAAATTGGCAATAACAACAAGTTGGATAAATATAAAACAAAAGGTCTTTACTTTCATGGTCTCCTTCCATCTGGGTGAAAAGATCCCCTTAAGAGCCCTGAGGATTATTTTTAGCAAGAAGATGGTCAAAGTAGTGTGGTGCAACATAATGGAATTTAAATTATATGGTACCCAGTGTACTGCCTAATAATTCATGGGCACAACCATGTGTCAGTAGCTAATATAACAAGACATGATGATGTCGAATGACAACACGGGCAATATGAACTTATATAATGATGTCATAATAGTTGACACAAGCACACATGTTGCATCATTTTCAGGAAGACATTATTGCACTCATGTTATCATTGTCCATCTTTGGCCTTCCTCAACTACAATGTGTCCATCAATTTGCCTTATCCCAAGAATCTATCTAAATCAAGTGCTGGTTTTAATTACCGCAATGCTTCAGATAATTTTTTTTTCTTCTATAGTCCAAATTACACCAATTAGCCATATAATAATTCAAGACAAAAAAACACCAAGGGCCTAAAAACTAATAACCAACTACCAGCTGGATTTCACAAAAGGCAAAGAGGATTTCCAGGTATGTTCAAGTCATCTTTTTGAATAAAAGAGAGAAGAAAGTTTTAATATATTCCCCATCAATCAAGCACATCCCAGCCTTTTGACTTACGGGAAGAAGAAAGAACTATGAAAATCCGATCACTGGATTCAGTTTCAGCAGCCAACAGCTAAAAATAGGCCTGCTTTTTTATGGAAAGGTATACAAAGTTTAAGAGCAAAAACAGGCAACTTAAGATGAACTTCTCCAAGTGGTCTGAATTTGGTGCCAAATGAACTGGGCAGCCTGATAGTTAAGAGGCCTCTTGTGCCATTTTTAGAACTTGAAAGGGGCTGATGACCAAATACCCCATGCTGGGAAGCAACCATGGAAAAATAACCTGATCTGTAATGAACAAGCCGTCTAATAATTTTAACTATTCTTTGAGGTTTCTTTTATGTTATTTTGCATAATGACTCTAGCAGACTCTTTCATCAGAAATCTCGTTGCAATATGTAACAATGAATTGCCTGTGGAGTTATATGAAAACAGTGCACTATGATATGAAGTCCTATCTGATACAGCTTTGTGGGAAATTCATTGTCACATCTCCATATAAGGACCTTTCTGTCAGCTGCTCCAAAACAACTCTATTTGTTTTTTGATAGCTTCACTTTTCCAAGAGGAAAATTACTTTATCCCTAAAAATTTGAATACATTTTATCTAATGCTGGTGCACAATTTCCTGAGTTAGTTGTTATACATTTGTTAATGTCTCTTCTTTAATTCTTGCTTCTTCTTGCTTACCATATCTTGAAGGAACTGCAGTGACATAAGAGGAAAACAGAATGTTATCAGATATTATATATTAATGTGGAATTATTCTACTAGGCCTTTCTCCAGGACATAAACTTGCAATATCTGGATATGCTACTTGATTAAACACTGACATAATCTGGGAAATGTGAATTTTCTAAGTTAAATTTCATCTTCTACCTCTTTGACAGGTGTTCCATAACTTTATTGTCACTTTGAATGTACACTAACTGACATACATTAAAATGAAATTTCATTGCATACAGCTCTCAAAGGGTCACCACCTCTAATATACTACAATATACTACTACATAACCATGAGAGAATAAGTAAACAAACAAACAAATAAATAAATAAATAAATAAACAAATACAAAATTATGTATATACCAGTGGTGGGTTCCGGATCCCATTCCAACCAGTACGGTTGGAACGGGCCCAGCATTGCCCACATGGATGTGCATGGTGCGCGCATGCATTATATCTGCCATT